ATGAGTGTTGTTTAATGAAACCCACAGCTGGTGTTGCTTCAGCGTCGTAGGGAAATTCCTGCATATAAACAGACATGTGGATTAATGGAATAAAGTACAGGATGCAAAACCAGCTCTGTTGCTTGTTGAGCCATCTGGTCTGTGATAAGGCAGCCAAAAGCAAGCTAGAGGAAACGTTTGTTCTTTGGCAACATGCTGGGGAAACTGCCTATATATATTTAGAAGATTGAATTTAGAGCTGTATTTCTAACCAACTGCTAAACTAAAATCAAAATGGAGCAAAGATGTAAATTTTAAGCAGTCTGTTTTAAGATAAAATAGGTGAACCTCTTGAAATAGACTAGGGCTTTTTGCAGAGAAACACAATTACACAAACAACATCAAGAATCAATGTGATCAGGGGCCGGGGAGATGGCTCAGTGGAATAAGCGCTTCCCCGGCAAGCGCAAGGGCCTGAGTTCAATCCCCGGTTCTGCAAAAAAAAAAAAAAAAAAAAAACATCAATGTGATCATATCAAATTATTCTACACAGCAAAGAAAGCAACAATGGAAAGAAAATTACGGAGACGAATACCTGGAGTATATAAGGAAGACACAAAAAAGTAGACCCCTCAGAAGTTGAGGGCTCAGTCAAAACGGGCAGCTGAAACGAAGATATACTTTTTAAGATGTATAAAAGGCCGGTGAATCCATGAAGACGTCACTATCTCTGGCTGTCAGAGAAATGCAAATGAAAAGATTTCCATCTTACTCTAGAGGGAAAATGGCTGTCATCAAGAAATCAGATAACGCATTCTGGCCAGGCAGTGGGAGTGAGGAACCTTTCTGCACTGTTGGTGGGAGTGGAAAGTGGAAAGTCCACTATGGAAATCAGTATGAAACTTCTTCGAAATCTAAAACTAGGTACTTTGTTTAACCCATCTATTCCCCTTTTAGATATCTTCTTGAAAGAGTTAAATAAATATTACAGTGTTACATGGATACCAATGTTTATAGTAGTAGAACTCATACTAAATAGCTAAATCTTGGAGCCTTTGTCAACAAGCAGCTGGGTAAATAAAATGACATTGACATAAAATGTAGTACAGTGTCATAAGGCTAAATTTGAGTCACTGTTTAAGAAATGGTTACACGAAGTGAAATAAATCGCACAAGCTGAATTGTGGTATAGTTTCTCATATGTAAGGAGCCCAAAGTATAAATTAGCAAGACCAGTGTGGTGCATGCCTGAAACCCCAGCACCTGGGAGGCTGAGGCCAACCTGGTTGACATGGTAAGTTTAAGTCTAGTGTGGAAAGGAACCAGGAGTTGGAAGGAGCGGAAATGGTTTGACAGACATGACAAAATTAAAGATGTGTTCATGTACCAATTCCCAGTAATGAACTGCTGTCATGTGCTAAGGGAAAAAAATGAGAAAACCCTAAAGAGAAATCAGATTTAAATGGCATTTCCAAGAATGAAGTGCTAAGTGTAGGGTGACCAGGCTAAACTGTAGGGATGCTTACACACAGAGGGCTGGCTTTGGGGCATACCTAACAGTTCAGTGCTTCCTTACACCAAAATACATATCCGTGTAAGTTTATAGAAATTTTATAATCAAGAACTAGAAGTCATTCAAATGACATCTCCAGGATGCTTAAGTAAATGGTGAAAATCATGAAGTGAATGAGGACATGGCCGTTAAAATTTAAGCTTTTGTGCAACAGGATGAGTTAATTTCCCTAGAAATAGCTGTTGAGTCCAGCTGCAGTCTGGTTTGAGGTTGCTGTTTGCTTCTAAGCCAAAGTGGACATCTTTCCGGAAAAGAAAAATAAAAATCTTCATACATGGTTTGCTTTGGTTTTACAAGGGTTAGATAGGCAATGAGAGAGGCCTTGTTAGTCTAGGCAGGTGGTGGTGAGCCCACAGAACGGGTACTGCGGTGGGCAGAGTGCCACCATGTGAGCCAGGTTGCCAAGTATCACCCTAGCAGCTGAGTGTTGGGTAACAGCACATGCAGGGTCAGTGCTGGCACTTCGGGATAAATAAGTGCTCTGGGTTGCAGTTTGGGCACTTGGTATCTAAAAGTCTCCCCATCCCTGGCCTAGGTTGTCAGTTGAGGTCGGTGATTATAACCAGAAAATCCAGTGAGACCTGCCTACCTCTAGGACTTAGCACTGTTACCTCAACCTGGGTTTCATGACAGTCACAGAAGTAGACTCCACATCAACAATAGGGTGGTCTGCCACACAAAATCCTTGAGTGGCAGTGACATCTCAGACACAAAGTAGTGTATACTGTATGATTGCAGGGGTGCAGCCCTCACAGAGGGGAACAAAGTAGAGGGAAGACCAAATGAAAAAGGAACCCGGGGTCAGGAGGACCAAGCTGCTGGCTCTGTAACTGCGTTTATTTGTTCCAATGTTAATATACAGAAAACACTGAACATGTGCCCAACATTTGCCCTAGTTAACTCGAAGCCTTCCCTGTTTCCCTGGGAATGGAATAGCCTGCCAAGACCAAGGTGGTAGAAGACCACGTGTTCCAGAGCTCTTTGCTCAAACTGCAGGTCGCGGAAGCTGGGCACGTTGCCACATCTACTTCCTTATATGGTTGTTCGTTCCGGGACCCAGTCTGCAGCATATTGATGAGGTCATCACTAGGGAAACCTAATATATTGTTATGTGATGAAGAATAGAACATTGACCATACTTGTGTATTATGAATGAAGAGGGCACGTTTATGCCTGAAAGGTATTGGGAACGTTTCTTTTCACAATGAGGGGATACTCAGGAAGTATGTATGGAATTTTCAAGCCATGTACCAAAAATCTGTCTACGGAAGTAATGTCATTGATTTATTTATATAAAAGAAACTATAATATTACTCAGTGCTGGGGAGATAGCTCAGCAGTGTAAGTGCCTGCCTGGCAAGCGCAAGGACCTGGGTTCAATCCCTGGTATCGCACTGCCGGCCCCAGAACTCCTGGCACACTGAGCTGGCCACCAAAACGGGGTGTAGCGATGCATGCCTGTAATCCCAGTGCTGGGGGCGCTGAGACAGGAGGATCACTATGAGTCCGAGCTGTGTAGCCTTACATGAGCCAATCAGAATGAAAAAGAGGTTCATTTTGGCTCAGTTTCAGAAGTTACAGTCCATGGTCAGCAGATTTGAAAACAGAATGGGGAAGACAGAAGGGCATGGGCAAGGACAGCTGCTGAGGTCCTGTTGGCTACAAGCAGATGGTGGGATCTGGGGGTGAGATACACCTTTCCAGTGACCTGTCTTTAAAGAGGCCAAGCATTTGTGAGTGTCTTGTCTCCACTCTAGAGCTCTGTGCCTTGATTCCGGCCTATCTGTCAATGAGAGTTTGGCTGCACATGACTGGGCCAGTCTTCCCACTGTAAGAAAGGTCTTGTCTTAGTTACAAGACTCCTGTGTCTAAGCAAACAATCAAGCTCACTCTTGGGTTAATGGGTGCTGCTCAAGTAGTGTACATTTTTGTAGCTTTATGTTTTTCCTATCCTTCATTGGGGTGATTTGCAGGTACTTTAATAAAAGTCCCAGGATGTGACAGGAGAGTTGGGTAGAAGAGCAGAATTTAGGAACTTTCTTTCTTTCTTTCTTTCTTTCTTTCTTTCTTTCTTTCTTTCTTTCTTTCTTTCTTTCTTTCTTTCTTTCTTTCCTTCCAGAACTGGGGATTGAACTCAGGCTCTTGCACTTGCCCGGGAAGTGCTTACTCCACTGAGCCATCTCCCCAGCCCCTGGGACTTTCTTTTCTTTAGGTGGGCAGCACAGTCACATGCCCAGCACAGACAGTGGATCATCAGGAAAGCAGTTTAAGATGTTGAGGTAGGGGCTTTCCCACATGCTGGGGTCTGTGGTCACCTGGGGTGTTTAAGATCTGGTGCCCAAAGTGCTGGCCAGATAGCTCAGTGGATTAAAGCACCTGTTTAGGCAGATGCAGGGGGCGGGGCTCTGGTCCCTGGGCCTGCTGTGCCGGCCCTGCCCCTGGAACACACTGAGATGGCAATTGAGACTGGGCATGGTGGCACATGCCTGTAATCCCAGCTTTTGGGAGGCTACAAAGCAGGAAGGATCACTTTGAGTCTGATCTATGTAGTGAGACCCTGTAGACCCTGTAGTAAATGCATTAAAAAAAAAAAAAAAAAGAAAAAAAAACCTGGTGCCCAATCCTCATCCTCAGAGACTGTTTCGACTGGTCTGAAGGTTAAGTCAACATCCTTTGCCAGTTCAAAGGGAAGTGCAGCGATAGGACTAGGTTCATATATATCACTACTCATGATTTATGACACACATTAAAGAAGTTCTCTGAGCCACTTTCCACAGCTCAACTGGCTGCGCCGAGTCAGTGGAAACTTGCTACATGCTGTTACATGCTGTCTTAGTTTCTCTTCTCTCATTGCTGGGAAAAATACCCGACACCCAAAATGAAGGAAGGCAAGGTTTGTTTAGTTCACAGTTACTAAAGGTTTCAGTCCATATTCAGCTGGCTCCAAGGCAGGGGCCACATGGCAGAGAGCAGCCATTCACGGCGGCTAAACAGCAGTAACAACAACAAAGAGCAATGGCTACAGGTATCTGTCTCTCTGTCTCCTATATTACACTGAGACTCTCTGCCCCAGGCTGGGGGAAGTCCTCGTACCCATAATGCCAGCAGTACTAAAACCCATAATCTCAGCCTCGGGTCACATGTAATCTCAGCGGATCATGAGTTAATCACGCACTCGAGAAGTCCCCACCCCGTGACCGCATGAGGCTTTGGGGGGACAACCAGATGCCATAACAACTGCACTCCTCACAGTGATGATCCTGAGTGGTCCTTTGGCCGGCACTTAGTAGTAGCAATCAGCATATATTATCACAGTTTGCAATTTGGCTTATGATTGAAGAGGTTTCAGCCCAAGAATGGTTGGCTCCAAGGCAGGAACATGGAGGAAGAACGTTTGCCTGTGACAGACTCAGCAGAGCCCAGGGGAAGGGCATAGGACGGAGGAAGTAGCCAGGGGTCAGACATGGTACCTGAGGTCATGCCCTCAGAATTAACTTCTTCCAACTAGGCCCACTTTCTTATTCATTCACTCACTCACCCATTCATTCATTCATTTATTCATTCGTTCATTCATTGTGGTAAAGTCTGACTGTAGGTCAGACTGGATTTCAACTCACTATGCAGCCCAAGCTGGTCTTAAACTTTCAGTGATTTGCCTGCTTCAGTCAACTGAGTGATAGGATGACAGGTTTGCATCACCGTGTCCACCCTATGCCCACTTTCTTGTTTGTTTATTTATTTGATATAGGGTCTCATTACACAGTTCAGACTTGTAGTGATCCTCCTGCCTCAGTCAGCTGGGCCAGCATGGTGCATCTGGGGTTCCCAGGCTAGCACGGCAAGTGGTGCTAGGGATTGGACTCAGGTCCTTGCCCTTGCCAGGCGGGTGCTTAGGCCACTGAGCTGTCTCCCTAGTCTCTCACTTTCTAATAGCCCATTCAACCATGAGCTCATCATTGAGGTTACCAATCACACTTTCTGAAAGTTTGTTTTCTTTTTTTTTTGAGACAGGGTCTCACTATGTAGTTGAGGCTGGCCTTGCAATTGTTATGTAGCCAGGGCTTTCCTCAAACTCCTGGTAATTCTCCCACCTCAGCCTCCAAGTTCTGGGATTGCAGATGTGCACCACCATGCCCAACCATCTTCTGGAGTTTTGAAATCCAGTTTAGTTGAGAAAATCAGCCAATAAACTGAATTTTCATGAAATAAGCCATGATATGAAACCATATTAATTTCACTGTCCCTTTCTGCCAAAATCCAATTAGCCTTTGTACTCCATGTTTAAAATGATATGGCCTGTACGAATGTGAGCACTATGGGCTTATCTGTAGTGTCTGAACTGCATAGCAAGACCCTGTCTCAAAAAGACAAAACAACAATGTAACAATAAAACCCTAAACACACCGTCTTACATGAGGTCTTTTTTTTTAAAAGTTAAATGAACTGAAAAGAAATAAATGAGCTGAAAAGTATGTGAGTCTTCATTATGCAAAGTTTATAACTTATTCTACCTGCTAGGTTGGAATTTTTGTATTTTGTATTTTACAGAACATCACTAATGACATCAAGAGGTACCTCTGGCTATATCCCTGTCCTGGTATATGTGGGGATCTTGTAGTGACGATGACAAATGGAATAGCTTCCGTGGAATTTTTTTGTATTTTAAGACAAGGTCTACAGGGTCTCACTGCATAGATTGGACTCGTAGTGATCCTCCTGTTTACAGCCTCCCGACTACAGGCATGCAGCACCACACCCGGTCTCAATCACTTTCACAACATGCCCCGGGGCTGGCACAGCAGGCTCAGGATTGAACTCCTGGTGCCTGCATCTGCCTAAGCAGGTGCTTTAATCCACTGAGCTATTGGCCAGCCATTGCTTTCTTGGATTTTGCACTTTGTACCTGGCCTAGTGTTAAATACATTTCCAGTCAGTTTCCATGAGACAAGTTTTGGTAGTTTCAGATTTGATCCACTAGTCTGCTTGTTTGTGACTTTCAGTGGACCCTACACATTTGATCCACATCTATTCTTTATAGTATTTCTGTTGAAGAATTATTGCTTTTAATTTGTGTTTAGTTAGTGCTCAACAGAAAAAATTACAAAATAAAATATTATGTTTTTAATATTGACTGTCAAATAGCATCAAAACTTTCAACATCAACTGATTTTTGGTGTACAAAATCTATAAAATAATGACAGGAGGGACTGGGGAGATAGCTCAGTAGAATAAGTGCTTTCCTGGCAAACTCGAGGGCTCCCGGTTCTGGAAACAAAACAAAACAAAACAGGAATAAACTTCTATGTGAACTACAATAAAAATATCAATGGCAATCTACAAAAAATCTCTGCTTCAGGTTTGCAGATGCCTCTATCCATCCACTTAGTCATTTGTTGCCAACCATAGTCAATCCCACCGTGTTCTTTGATATTGCTGCCAATGGCAAGCCCTTGGGCCATGTCTCTTTCAAGCTGTTTGCAGACAGAGTTCCAAAGACAGCAGAAAACTTTCATGCTCTGAGCACTGGAGAGGAAGGATTTGGTTATAAGGGTTCCTGCTTTCACAGAATTATTCCAGGATTTATGTGCCAGGATGGTGACTTCAATGTTATGATCCATGTACATGCTCAAGATCTATCTACTTTTCCTACAAATGACTCAAATTTATCTTTCTTTTTTTTTAAGGCATAGAGAGATTTATTTTATTTCTTAAAGAGAGTACAAATTAGACTTAAAACAAAAAAAATGCAGGTGATACAGAATTTTACTTAACAGTAATATGAATTTCACAGTAATTCTTGTAATACATAATTTTGTCTTTCAAAAGGTTATTCTTTTTTTTTGCTATGTACACAAGCATTTATTATAATCTAGGTACAGAGTTACAGAAATGACCATGAGCTCTTGCCTATTAGTGATATAAGTATACCTTGCATGAAAGATTCCACTAAACTTGTGCATAGCATCTGGTGTTATAACTTTGTTTTTTTTATTTTTTTTTCAAAATTTTATTGATAAACAGATAGCAATGAGACAGTTTCAAATCAAATCGGAAGTACAGTTTCAACAAATAACACACTG